TGCTCTATTCAATAGAGTATGAGTAGGATTTTTACTGATTTTGACAAAGTTCCTGAAGACTATATTATTTTTTTAAATTTTTGAATAAGTTTTCGCTTGCCACACTGTGGCACACGTAACACGGGTTGGCCATCTGTGATTAGTTGTGTGGAAAGGTAAATATCCGGGAGGAAGATGGAAGCGGGTTAATCGATTATTTGTTAGAGATGCATATTGGGGTTCAAAACAACTTTGAAAGAAAAAAGTTATAAATATTGTGAAATTGTTTTCATTTAATTTTTCTTTTGATATTATGTAATTTAATATTTTAATTCTTAAAAAATTAAAATTATTTTTATTTTAAAAACCTTCTGAAGATACATTTCTCCGCTATTATGCTGCACTGTTTAATTAAAAATGTAGACTTGGCATCTTGTCAGTTTATCATGCAATCGATGGTTGAACAATAATATTATTAATTATATCGACGTTGATTATATTGCATATATATATATGTATTTTAACATTCATCAAAATGTTGCTTCCCGAGCGGCTTGGGAGAAAACCCGTTGTGTTTCTCACCTAAGGGTGTTTGGTTCGAAATTAGATAAACCATACTGAACCAAAAGACGAGGATGGATACGATAAATATATATGCCGGAATGTTCTTCTATTGGGGAAAAGAGTGCAAGCTCCTAGATAACACCCACGGGTTTCGTTCAAAATTGTGGAGACTTAATGAGAGGACAATTAGCAGGTCCCACATAGTGCTCCATGGGTAACGCTGAATTTGCTACATTTTTTCGTTTCAGAGATTAATGGCTTGGGTGAAAGACTCGAGAACAAAAACAATATATTGTTTATCTAATATAAAAACGTTTTACAGTTTAAATAACCCACTTAAATATTTCATCAGGAGAACAAGATATGGCAACACTAAAGGAATGAATTATTTTCAATTTGTAACAAAAATTTTTTTTTTTTTTTGCGATGGAAGGCATTTTCACTTCCGCCAAATCTTTCCGTACTTGTGTATACATATATACAGCAGTGATTTCCGGCACTACGAAAGGAAATAAAAAATATATGCGAGTTTCACTTTCTCTATCATTTCATTAAAATTGCCCAATAAGGATGCTATAATTATGAATATACTTTTTAGCACTTAAGTAAGTAAAACCTGAAAAATAATTTTTGTTAAAATACAGTACAAAAAGGAGAGTAATTATTTTTAAGGATGTGGTCAAATAAGCAATTTTTTAGCTTTTTCAACTTTTTTTACAATGAACAAAAAATTGCATTCATATTTGAACAAGATAATGTTATTCAAAAACACTAAATCCAATATTCGTATTTCAACATATATTTTTAATGATGTTTATGCGTTTTTCTTAAATAAACTCATATCTCACTCTGGGTTTTGCGTATGCTCTTAATTCAAGATTGATCACCTAAAATAATCTGCTTCTAAATAACAAAGAAATATTTTAAGTTATTTCAACATCATTGTATCTATTTCTAACACTGCAGGTAATTATTCCTTCAAAATTTAGAATTTTTATTCCATTTGTGTCATTAATATATATAATTGCATTCGATATCCTTATATATATTAAGAAGTATACTAAAAATATTATTATTTTTTACAAAGGCCAATTTATTCGTACATTGTATAACGAATATGATTTCCTTCTTACATGAATTAGATTTGATTTGTGCACTTTAAAAATAAAAGTAATAAATATTATTCTGTAATTAAGTTAATTACCGGATTTAAAATAATTCCAGAAATTAAAATTTACAAAGATCGAAAGAAAATATATTAATTATAAATTAATTAATTAGAAAAAGAAATTATTAATTATTAATTATAAATTAATAAATTAGATAGAAATTATTAATTATTAATTATAAATTAATAAATTAGATAGAAATTATAAATTATTCATTAGAAATTAATTATTGATATAAATTAGAAATTAATTAATTGCATAGAAATTAGAAATTATTAATTAGTTAGAGATTAGAAATTATTAATTATAAATTAATTAATTGGAAAGAAATTAGAAATTAATTAATTGGATAGAAATTAGAAATTATATTTAATGTTACAGTTAAAATTAATTTTAAAATTTTAAGAGAAAAATAAAAAGGTAAAAGGCAAATCTGTATTTCTCTTTATTATTTTTTATTTTATTTATTTGTTTATTTATTTTACTTAATTTATTTTGTTTATTATAAAACGTGCACTTATAATATTTAGACATTTGAAAAATATGAATGCTAAAACGAATACTAAAGTAAAAAACTATATATAATGTATTCTACTCTCAGCTTCAAAAATTAATTCGCAATTATACTTATAAAAGCAACGTAAAAATTTTATTTATCTTGTATAGAATTATCAAATCAATTTTATCATAAAAATATCATATCTTTTAATAATGATGATATTAATTTGAAAAAAATATCAACATGAAGTATTCCAGCAGCTTAGCACTATTTCGTTGTCGTCAAAAAAGGAAGCCTGTTAATCGAGTGGTTAGCGCTCTACCGCTCGGTACCGCAGGTTTCGGGTTCGGATCCCGGCGGGGCCATGGATGTTTGTAGTGGTTCGGAATCAACTTTAAACTGTAGGTCCCGATCTGTTTAGCCTAAAAGTGTGCACAAGATGACCGTAGAGCGACAAACCAATCAAAGAAAAAAAGAGAGTTAATGCACTTTCTCCAAAAAAAAAGGCATAGTTCTGCAAAGCATCATAGAGAAATATGTGCCATGACGGTTGTTTAATTTTCATTAGGAATTATAAGATGACTTCTCTCACAATCTTAACCATGTCCTCAATAAATTCTATTATTTTCTTTTCCTTCGTCTGAAGGCATGGTTTGCTTATCATTATTTTTCCGATAGGGGAATGTTAAAACTATAAATGTTGAGCTGTTTTTAATTTGAAATGGTAAAAATTCTATTCGCCAAGTCAAAAAAACACCTTGTCTCGCCCTTTTCAAAAATTCTTCAAGTCAATGGTGACTACGAAGGAAAATTAACTAGGTATTTATGTATATGAAATCATTCATTGAATTTTTTTCCATTATTTTTATAATCAGTTAACAATTTCATTTGAAATTCATGTGCTACAACTGAATATTAATAGTTTGTAATTACTCCATTTGTACCCTTCACTATTTTTCAGCCCTACTCGTGGCAGTCTGCGCCGCTGGTGAACTATAGGGCTGAGGTTCAATCCGCTGGCGGCAGTGGGAGGTTTCCGGGTATATTCCCATACGATACGTAAATGTGGGGCAATTCCTTGTAAAAGTCGTCCTGGAAGTCATTTCCCTCCTACTTCACCGACACGAAGTCAAATCTTCAACCTACGGGTGCTCCATCCCAGCTGAAGCTGCCCCTTTCCCTCTATCCACAAGTAGATTACTCATACGATACGCAAATGCGGGATAGTTCTCCTTAAGTCCCCCTCATAAGGTACTTCCTGCCTTCTACTTGTCATACTTCCAACAACGGGTTCTCCATCACAATTTATTCTGAGTTCGTTTATATTGTGACTAATCATCCGTCCCCGGCAGCGTGAGAAGGACACACCATGAGTAGCCTTCTCATGCATGGAGGGAAAGGGGCAGCTTCTGTTGTGATGGAGCCTCCATAAGTAGAATTCTGATTTGGATTCGAGTCGTTGAAGAAGGAAGACAGTGCCTTTTAGGGGGAACTACTCCGCAGTTGCATATTATATTGGAGAAAAGCCCCACCATGCAGTCTGATTAACGAGGCATGATAGTGAACATCACAAGCACCATCGAGTCTCCTTGTCTTTGAAACAATGCCTATAACAAGGCCGCCAGTTGATTGAACCTCAGCCCTTACCCACCAGCTGCGCACGTTACCATTGAGTCACGAGTCGGGCGAATTTGTTTATTGTTTGTCAAACTAATCTTAACTATCGCCTAACCATCAATAAAAGAATAAATATAACTGTATTTAGTTAGGCTTATAATTATAACAGATTTGATAAATAACTCGTTTTTCTATAAATTAAATAGAAAAGGGCAAATAAATAATAATAAATAGTTATTAATTAAATAGTTAAATAAATTAAATAGATATAATAAATGACTCGTTTTCCGTGAGTCACATTCCAAAGTACAACTGGAGAACTAACAACAGGAAGTTACGTACTACATTTCACGTGCACGAATCAAATGTCGCTTTTCCTAAGAAAAGACCTAAAAGTCAAAACAGATCAGTATCAGATTTTTTTTTTTTTCACATTTTCCACTCAGTTGACGTTTAGAACTGCATTTAAAAAGCAATGTATAAACTATTGTAAATGTTAAGAAATTTTCTAATTATGTTTGTAACTATTTTGAAGAAAGCTTTTAAAGCAATTTTTACACATTTGTTGTGTTCTACTTAATATCAATATCGAAAGTTTAAGCAATGGGGTAAGTAAATTAGATATTATCTATTTTTTAAAAATATTTTCTACATCATAAACCTTTCACTTTTTTTTGTATATTTTAAATTTTTATTTTTTTAACCTTAACTAAATATTAAAAAAGCGGTTCCGGTCTAATTAGCCTAAAGTGTGCAAAAAATGACCGTAGAGAAACAAACCAAAAGCCAATCTGTACTTTCATAGTGCAATTGAAAAATATACATGTTTAATATTTTTACATATACAAGACCCTAACCCAACAAGCACCGAAAATAAAACACATTTTTTGTAATGCCAATAGGCTCGTATGTCATACTTGTAAATCAGGTGATTTTCTCCGATACGATAAGGAAATGTGGGGCAGTTACCCCCTAAAAGTCTTCCCCTCATTGGACAGTCTGTGGGCTATTGGTAGTACATATAAGTGGAACGCGAGGGACACAGTGGTTCATTAAATAAATATGTCAGAACATTTATCACAAATATTATCCAGTTAGGGATTTAATTTTGACAAAAAATTGAATTATGAAGTAATTTGAGATGCGTTAGTTTTGTGAGGGGGCTTTTTGCCAGCATACCATGCTGAATATGCCGGATCTCGTTCGATCACCGAAGTCAAGCATTATCATGCGAGGTCAGTACTTGAGAGCTTGACCACATGGGAACATAGCAGGCCATTGGCATTCAAAATTTGGGGTAGTGTTACTCGCGTCCGTTGCATATCTTCAAAGCTACACGTGCTCCCTGGGTAGTGCTAAATGAGTAACAACGGTGCAACCCTTGCTTACGGCATAAAGACTAACTGTCTCTGTATTGCCAACTTATTGAAACAACAGTTTCTTGAGCAGTTTGCGCAAATTTTCTACTGGCTTATTTGACCAGTCTTTTTTTTTTTCTAATGCATCTGGGAATAAAAATAGAGTTATCTTTACGCCATAAGCAAGGGCTGCACCGCTGTTACTCATTTAGCACTACCCAGGGGCACTTGTAGCTTGAAGATTTGCTACGGACGCAAGTAACAATACCCCCACAAAGTTCATATTAGACAGGTACCTACAGTTTAAAGTGGATTCGAATCACTACAAACATCCCTGGCACCGCTGGAACTCGGACCCGAAGACAGTGGTACCAAGCGACAGAATGCTAGCCACTCGGCCATCAGGCCCCTTATTTGGTTAGTGAAAAGGTCTTCTTCTAAATGAAAAAAATATCTATAAATGAAAGTGAACTGATCAATATCTCTTGTCTGTTTTGATAGTAAACTAGATCCAAGATCTTTTCAGCGCAAAAACACGGCTAACAATTATCATTATTAATAATTATTATTACCATTTAAAATTAATAATATGGGTTTATATGGAGAAAAATGATTGGGTTGTTCCTCTAGTAAATAAAAACATTCATTGTTATTAAAAATTAAATTTTGATGCAAGGCATGTCTAGCAATCTGAACAGTATTTTGAAAAATCTTACTTTAGATGTTTTTCAATTTAAAACATGACAAACACTATTTTTCAGATATCCCCTACTGCCATCTATTGCTGAAATAATAAAACTAATACTTCCTTTCATATACTTAAATATGCATTTCCGAAAATTATTATCCACTTTAGATTTCTATTGTATGAAATTAAAATTTAATCTATATGCTTATAATTTTTAATAAACATAACTATTATCATATATGGCAACAAGATTTATTTCGAAGCAACATTTTTTTTTAATATCACTAAGAAAACGATTAAGATTTTATTTAAAAAAACAGAATGATAAATAAATCAATTAATATCTTTATTGATCAAAAAAAATATCAATTTTATGCCGTTGACTTTAGTCAGAAATTTTATTGATATTAGATTTTTAAAAAATTTATAAACTTAATTATTTTTATTTACTTTAGTCTAATACGTGAATCAAATTTTAGAAGAAAGATTATTACGCGTTGCAAAAATGTAGTAATATGTTGGTCAGAAGTTGTTGTTTTTTAAAAGAGACATTTTTTTTTTTTTTTTTTTTATAAAACTAAAATTTTGTGAACAATAATGAAGTAATATAATATGTTCAATAAAATAAAAGTTAGGGCCGTATATGGCCGGTGGTCTTGATTCAGTTTTGTTCGTGGATACAAACTAAATTATTTCTCAAAATAAAAACGTGATGTTTAGTTGCCATATTTATTAAAATTGCAAATATAGCACTGCACAATTGTAGAACATAACACACAAAACACAACTATATAACAAATATTTACAAAATCATCTTAAAAAAGCCAGTTCGTTTAAGGGGCTTTATATCCTCCGTACTGCTTGAAACTCTTCTCTCGACTCCGTACACTTATTAATAAAATTGTTTATTTTTTGTATATAATAATTGTAAATTGTGTACTTTTTTTGTTCAACAAAAGATTTTCTCTTTAAAACTGAATTTTTATAAAATTTAAAATAATTTTTAAATTAGAGGTAGAATTTGTCATAAAAAACAACTAGATATATTAAATTTCTAATAGAAACTAATGAATCAATGACAAATTATTTTCTAGTAGAATAATAATATACAAATAATTTTCTTAAAAAATATAGAATTTTCTTAACAAATATTTATTTTCTAATAGAATAATTGCAATAGTCTACAATATATAAAAAAATTTTCTTATAAAATATTATAAATTTTCTTACAAATATTTATTTTTAGAATAATTGTAATAGTCTACAAATACAAATTTTCTTAAAAATATTTATTTTCTAATAGAATAATTGTAATAGTCTACTATTTTCAAATTTTCTAATATAAATTTTCTAATAAAATATTTATTTTCTAATATTTATTTTCTAATAGAATAATTGTAATAGTCTACAAATATAAATTTTCTTAAAATATTTATTTTCTAATAGAATAATTGTAATAGTCTACAAAATATAAATTTTCTTAAAAATATTTATTTTCTAATAGAATAATTGTAATTTTCAAATATAAATTTTCAAATATTTATTTTCTATTAGAATAATTGTCTACAAATATAAATTTTTCTTACAAATATTTATTTTCTATTAGAATAATTGAACTATTGGAATAATTGGAGCTTGAACTACCTTATTTGCAAATGCCAGCAACTCATCTGATTAGTATTTATATTCATCACATTACGTTAAGTCAAATCGTTACGTTACGGGAGTCAAATCTTCGATTTTCAAAATCATTTGACATTCGAGTAAGGGAAGTTCAGAATACCCTCTATCTGAGTAATAATAGTCTCCAATTCTTCATACGTAATTTTTTCATGCACGTAATTTTTATAACATTCTTTTTTAAATTATATTTCGCAGGTTTTACATTTGCCTCCCAGAGACCTCCAAAGTGAGGAGATTTAGGGACAATACAATTCCAATTCATTCATCAATAAAATATGAGGTTAACTTCTCCCCAGGTAAATTAACAATTTTGCAAAACTTTTAAATTGTAATTTCGTTCCAACAAAGTTAGTTGTATTATCAATGAAGATTTTGGAATACCTACCTCGTCTTGCCATGAATCTCTTGAGCAGGTTATTTACAGGATCAGTTGTTAAGTCTGATAAGAACTCAAAATGGTGGGCACAAATTACAAAAAGAAATACATACACAAATGTACACTTAATTTAATATACTTTTTCGTTGCTTTTATAAGTCATAAGAAATGGACCACATAAGTCGAAACTTGCTAGTTATGTTAATGGGTGGCGATACAGTTACTCTCGTAAGTAAATCGTCCATGATTTGTGATGATACAACAGGTTTACTCTTAAAACAAACTTACAAATCCAGGTTTTTCGTGCTAAATTTTTGCCCAAGTGGCCAAAAGTTAACCTCGCTGCATTCAAAAAGCTTTGCGGGGAACATGAAGCTGTCGTTTATGTTCAGTATACGAATATTTTACATTTACTTTTGAATTCTTTTTGGGAGGATGATTGGATGTTTCTCTGAAGGGAGGGATGTTGGATTTTGCAAGACGTCCACCCATTCTGAGTATTCCTTTCTAATCAAAAAATAAATTTAAACACTAAAATATCTGTCATTTCCTTTAGTTTTTTTAAAGACCTTTGTTCATTTAGAATCACTAAGATCTCTGCTGTCTCTACCCCATCAAGCAAGTTGCAGGTTCTCAGTGTTTACCGAGAAGGTTTCTAGGGAGTTATTAGAATTCCTGAGTTCACAAAGTCAGTCTGTTGAGCTGGCTGCTCAAGAATATCGTCCATGCAGTTATTCATTTGAAAAAAATTCAGGACCACACCACCAGAGATGATTGTTAAAAGTTCTTCCGGGAAATTGTCTTCTAGAATTATATGTGCTGGGTTTCATCCAATGCCACTGTCAGAGGAACTTTTTGTTCTTAGATCTTGGACATTCGATTGGCAAAAAAGGTCTTCAATTCTCCATAAATGGATGGAGAATCCATAGATGGATCCATAAAATTACTATGGTAGAATCACTCCAAAAGGGTAGGGGCAAAGTCCTTACTTAATACATTTTTACTATGCGTATAACTTCACAGAAGCACGGATCCACATATAGTAACTCTAAGCAAGGTACCGTTATCTGCTTAAGGGGTTAAAACATGGGATTTGCTGGCAGTAAGTTTCTTCTTCACCTTTCTATCTGGTGTACATGATTTGGCGTAGACTGCAGCTCCATATGTCTTAGCACAGATGCATCACAGAAGCCATGGAGCTCCGTTGTTTCAAAAAGTTTTTCAATTATAATGCAGTTCTCAATGGTTATGCAGCTGCATTTCATCAAAGGCCACACAAAGTTTTATCAGTCACTTGCTTCTTTTGGGCGAAGTAGCTCACTCAGTCAATCTTCAGCAGCCACAATTGTTGCATAAAAAATTGTGCTTTCTTTGTTAACTTTTTTAATTGATTGAAGCATTCAATGAAGGTTGATTAGAACTATTTCAGGACAAAGGGATTAATTTTGTCGTACTTATTATTATCGTGTTTTTCAACATAAATTAAAATGATTTTTAATCCTGAAAGCACATCTGGCAGATTAAAGAAAAGGTTAAAAGGATACTACCTTTGATGGTATTGGGATAGTAAGTGTTCTAATACTTCTTATTAAACTTTTCAAGTAATCACTCAGTTCTCTGCTATTGCTAGTTTGGAATGTGTTAGCTGAATCCCCTTTCAATTTACCAAGTTCTTGTTCTTTTTCAAGTGTTTGCTTTGTCTCTCTACGGTTATCATGTGCACATGAGGACTAAACAGACCTGGACCTACAGTTTAAAATGGATTCTGACCACTAACAAACATCCATGCGCTATCAAACTACAGCGCTAGCCACACGGACACTAGGCCGCTTTTCAAATTTGGATAACTTTATTTCTTCTAATTTTTTAATTTTATTTCACTCTCTCAACAAATTAAAATTTTCTTCCTCACAAATTAGGAATATTAAATAATTCAACTCATTCATACGATATATCAATGTAATTCAACGTTCGCAGAAGTCCAACGGCACACAATTTCACTGATGCTCACTAATCCAATCTGTGAGACTGGACCACGTTTTTCGATGGCTCTTTTAAGTGAATCTTCCAAAAATAAAAACAAAATGTGATTGTAATTTCACATTTATTTGGCTGCCATCACACTCGAAGATGGTCTTGCCCTGTAAATCCTCATGGATGGTG